CAACCTGACTAAGAGCACTCCACCACCATCCTTGTATACCTCAGGGGTTACTCCATCTGGTCCTGATGCCCTTCCTTGTTTCAAGTTACCTACAGCTTTCTCGACTTCTGAAAGTGTTGGGGGGTCTATCTCAATGTTCCAGTTAGGGTTCGACTGGATAGTAGGCAACGCGATGGTGGCTGGAGGCCAGTCAAACTGTTTCTCGAGGTATTCTGCCCATCGTCCCAGTCGTCTCCTCTGCAACTGAATCGCAGTCTCATTGACTGTTGTTGACCTCCCCCCCACCCCAGTTTCCTTAAGAAGTCTAAATAACTGTCTAGTGTTACCAATCGCCACCGCCTTTTCCATCTCTTTGGCCTTCACTGCCGACCACTGTTTGCTGTCGTCGCGTAGACTTTTTCTCAGTCTACTTTTAAGTCGTGCTCGCTATTCATTGTACTCAGAGCCTGCAGGGATGCGTTCACGTGCATCCATTAGTTCGGATGAAGCTGCTGATATCCACTGGCTCCTTTTAGTCACTCTTTCTGAGTTGGCTACGGTCTTCAGCGCTGCGATCACCGTTGTCTTTAGGTTCAGCTGGGACTCCGAAAGTGCCACCTAATTACCTTTCTGCTTCACTCAGTCTACCCACCTGTGCATTGAATTCACCTGCAACAACCACCACGTCCGAACGTTTAGCTTTCAAGAGGAGGCTAGACAGTTTACGGTAGAACTCGTCCTTCACTTCATCCAAACTGCAGTCAGTGAGTGCGTAAGCAGAGATGACAGAAACAACGGCGAGTTTCACTACTCCTTTTAGTTTTCATTGAGTCATTCAGCCGGACAGCGCAGAGGTGACTATCAACTGGGATCCAGTCTAGTAGTGAGTTTTCTGCCCTAGTGCTTACTGCTATGCCTACACCTGCAAGACCACGAGAGCTAGCTAGCTATCGGATCTCCAGAAACTCGAAGGGTGAATTTTGCGGATACACCAGATTGGTCAGGAGAGGTCAGGTGAATAACCACACTTGGGTCCTGTATGCATGTCTCACAAACACATCACACATCCATGGCACGAGTTGTTAGAGTCTTTGCCAGTGAAGCCTGTTGACCAATTTGACGGAGGGTATGGACATTAAAGGCCCTGGTGTGTAATTTGGAGCGTGGTTTAAGGAGACCAGAGATGCTGTTCTGTGGATTTAGATCGTTATCTAAAGCTGCAGAGCTAGGAGAAATTGAAGATGATGTAGTGTCGTTAGTTGAGAGTCGTGAAGGAAGATTAGAAAGTAATGGTGGGGAGGTGGATAACAATCTGAGGAAACTTGAGTGTTGATCGATTTGTGAGGGCGGTTGACACTTCCCGGCTGCCCACACCATGGAAGGCTGTTTCTTCTTAAGGTACCTGAAAGATTTATGACCGCAGAGCCTATCGGACACCTGCTTGAGGCCTGTCACATGCAGCCTTTTGTGTATGGTTGTTTTGAACTTTTGTTGTTTTGGGGCCGGATGGTCAAAAAGAAACGACAAATGAACCAACACTGCCGGCCAGGCAGACCGTGAGGTATGGTGGAATGTGTTATTTTGGGGGATGACCTTTTCTAACCCCCCTCTTTCACTGAGAAGGCAGCATCAGCATGGCACGGCTGGTCATCCAAGGGAAACATCTTACTACTGTCACACCCCATCCAGCTAACAGCAGTACGACTTCGTCCTCAGACCCCTATCATAGTGTAGTAATTTACACCACAGCGGTAAGTGCTTCTCGTCTAACCACTACCCAACAAACCTTTCTGGTATGGTAGGACCCCGAGGGAACTAGTGTTCCACCAGCATAAATCGTTGGGTCACTGTGGTATCCAAGCCCGACCACCACGTCAAGGTGGCAGTTACCAGCCGGGCGTTACCTTCGTCGCACAGGTCACGTTAGTAATGCAGAAACCGGGTGTAGGGTTTTAGGGGGAGAGGAAAGTCAGTTGGTGAGGTTGTGAACCTTCATCGGCTCAGCTGGCTTGGACATGTATCAGTTATGTATTCCGAGAGGGGCTTTCCAATATTAGTGATGCCTACATATTGCATGCCTTGCTGCAGAATGTTAGCTGAATTAGGTTCAGGCCGGATAAAGGTAAGGCGCGGCCAGACCAAAACATGACATCAGTGCATGAATTTTTGACTGTTAGTCTGAGCCATGTAAGAGAATGGAGACTTCCCGGTTGGGGACCGTATGACAACAGAAACCAGTGGTTGGGGGCTCTACATGAAATGGCTCAGGATAGATCTCAATGGTGCAGATGAATCCACACATTATCCTTATATTAATTATCTTTCTAAATTCAATTATTGTTTCGCTCCACTTTTTTCTCTTTTGACGATCTTCAATCAATTTTGACTGAGTTCTCTGTCTCCTAACTTAGTGCATTCTGGCTTGGTGTGCTGATAAAGGGTGTAGCAAATTCGACCGTTAGGCAATAATTCCAAGCATTGTGTTGATTGTGTCTGTCAGCATGTAGCAAAAAGTTCCCAACAGTCGATTCCTATTACTTTGGGGACACAAACCAGGCAGTCTACACCTTATACAGCTCAAACCAACAGTCAGACTTCATGAGTTGCTACTACGTCCTTGTTTGAACACCCCAAACCTTCCAACCCGATCCATCTTCAAACAACACTGCATTTCGAAGTAAGGCGGTGGCTCGGTATATGCAACACATGTCCGAGTCATCTTATTCAGTGAAGGTTCGCACTCCATCGACTGATTTGCCTTCCTTGAATTGAACCCTAGGGCTAGCCTCAACAATCTTCACATAGTGATTCCATCATACGAGGTAATGCCACGAAAGCCCATTATAGTTAAAATCCTACCACCTCTTCATAACATCTTTTTTCAGCAGCTATCATAGCTGTACAATAGGACAGAGCAGAATGCAGTGGAGTATACTCGTCCTCTATCAGGTAGTCGTAAAAGTCACCAGCGCCAGAGATGATACGAGTTACCAAATGACAAACGAGTCTTCCCTATCCGAGTTGAGATTTTGTCAACGGTCAACCCATTTGAGGTGATGCAACTTTCCAGGTAGGTGAAGTGGTCAACACCTCCCACCACACTACTCTCTATACTTAAACTACGAGTTCCCGAAGACCAGTCTTAAAGCATCATCTTACATTTGATAGGCATACAGTATATCCTAAACATACTCAGATTTCTGCTCAAGTCATTCGGAAGGCTCTACATTTTGTCAACACCTTCGTTGAACAGGATAGTGCAGTCTGCCATCAATCTAACTGTAGAATATCGAGTTTGCATCACGAAGTTCCATCCTACACATGTGAGACTTGGCCTCCTCCGACTTATGATTATCGCCAACTTTGCGTCCAAGTACTGTGGTTTTCATGAGATTGCTGGAATAGGGTGACACCACCTAAGTAATTGTGTGATAGGTTTGGTCATAATAAGTCTTCCCACTCCATACATGAAATAATCTTGGACGTTTGTTACGTACACTGTGATAGTAGTCTTGATAGTGCTCACCACATGGTAGTTTTGAGATTGGCTGGAATGAATGGTCACTGTATAACAGGGTACTATGAGGTGAATAATAGATGTACTGGGTCAGCGTCTGATGGTGAATTACGACTCCATTAGTGTGGAATATGATAAAACTGAGTCTCTTGAGACGATACTACATACGACTCTGAGTCAATTTTACCGGTGACTTACCTGTATTTCTCTTATATTTATTTTTAAAGAGTGGTTAAAGGGTTGTGACAGCCTTCCGGCAGTCTCTCTTGTAGCTAAATCTGCTCATAATCCTCGTATTCCTTATTAACGGTATAAATATACGTTTTCCAAAGCGCTATCTTTCTATGACCTAACTTAAAACGGTAGTGTGACTGCATTTACCAAGCCCCACCAAAATTCTTATAACAAAGCATATCATCACTTACCGCTGATTGTTGGTCAGATCACATTTACCCACTTTTTCGAAGCACTCAGTGTCAAGACCTAAAAGACATTTAGTGTACGCCTTCATGCTTAATGCGTCGACTGCCTGTATTCCTTAACCAGTTGTCACTACATTTCACAATCGAATTTGATTGCTTCACACATGTTCACAATTCACTATCCTTATCAAGATTAAATGACTGTCTTTGAAATCTTCAGTTCTTAGACTATTTTGCTGACACAAACCAGTTGCCGTTGACGTTCACATTTCATCTGACTTGATTTATGACTTAATGTATGCAAAGGGTAATCAAAGTAGCAACTTGCACAAAAGTGAATCAGTTCAATTTCAAGAAAAGATGAACAGAAATAGAATAGCACGAGTGAAAATTTTCTAAAACTCAAAAACAACAAGGGGTGAAAAACTCATCAACTTGACCAATTTTCAGTCCTCTGGTTCGTAGCATTTTAAGGACCCTAGTATACACATACTATCCTAACACACACATAGTATCTTAACGACGCTATACCGAATCTCATCATTTTGTCATTCTTTCTCTTTTTGAGTACTTCATAATTCTTTTGACTGAATTTTCTTATCTTCATCATGCACCTCACTACGTTTCCATTTGATGTACTGATATGAGCTGTGGCAACTCGGACCGTTACGCAGTAATGCCTGGTCCTATGTTGATATTGATGATTATGAAAGACCCTAGTCAAACAGCCTACATCCTGCAACACATCGTTGTGTCCCAACTTAGTCTGCTTACTTTTAGCTTTCATTAAACCTGTTTCTACTTCGGTCAACATTGCGCGTCAACATAGACAGTGGTTTGGCGTGTACGAGACACTTCCAAATCAACTCATTCGGTGAAGAATCCGTCTCACCAACTGGTTGAAAGATGAAAGTGAGAAGCCAGTAACGCAGCTTAAGCAAACATTAGTCCGACTTAGCTAATAATAAGCAGAGAACTTGTGTTTGGGCAAACCAAAATGTCACCCTGAAAAAACTTCATTCGAACAAAAAAGAACTGTGGAATATCGGTTTTAAATAACTGCGCAAAATCATTTGACTTACCTTAGCATTTCTAGTCCAGTGTCATCAATGCGTGAGCAACTTTCTAGAGATAAGGTTGTCAAGAGAGAACAGTTCTTTCCCAAACAATCACAGGTCCCATTAGTTAAATTCTGACATCCTGATAAGTCCAAACTTTCAATCATATGACAGAGCTGAGTGAAACACCTAAGAGGAAAAAGTCAGCAGTTTTACAAGCTCCCATCATGAACAAAACTTACTACAAGCACAAGTTCCCTATGATAAGCCACAAAACTTTGTGAAAATATTAAGCAAGTTGTTGCACCATCAGTCTTAGTTACTCACTACATGACACAAAGATGGAAGATGATAGAGACGTGGGTGTATTAACAGTGATAATAGGGAAAACAGGACGTTAATGTAAATACTTGAAAATTCTACAATGAAGCAGAAGCACATTGGTTAGAGGAAACTTAGTTGCATTACAGGCTTGATGCCCAAAAAGTTACAGCATGATAAAATTCTGCTATTCAACTTAAACTAAGGAAATAAAGTTACCAAATGTTATGCAGCATGGTAAAACGATTTGTAGTGAAAGATGAAATGCTCTTCAGCTAGTGAATAAAAGCAGTTAACAACCAATACTAGTATTCGCTGCTACACGTCACCCTGTCAAGTATTCCCATATATCTTTATCATCTCAAACATCCCACTTGATTAATATACTTGAATGAGGAATGAATTGCAGTCAGATGCGTTGTTTGCAAATACTAACGAAAAAGTGTAATATCCAAAAAGATCACTAGTATCACTTTTCGACTGAAACGCAGTATAACGGTAATCATGAATAACACAACAAGAACAGGGTTTACAAAAGTCGGTTTACACAGCTGATTTTTTATCACTTTCACACAATCTGAATAACTACCGTGTGTAAATAAATATATGTGAAGGTACTCATGACATCAATTCATGTTTCAAAAATAACGATGCTCCACAGTATCATGAAGCTGAGGTTCTATAAATCAGTTACACTAAAAGTATGTTTGAAATGTAAGGAAGTGAAACCAGTGATTATCACACCAGTGACAAACGTGAAAATTGAGGACGAGCAAGACCAATTCATCTTATTCCGCTCCTGTCATACTGCCCACGTCAGAATTTTGTAGAGCATACTGGTTTACCAGTAAAGTGGACGAGATAAACTTAATTCATGTACAACATCTACCGCGCGAATAAACTCTTTTAAACTGATCCAAAAGAAATACGCCTAGCGAACACCGTTTGATCAATTTATTCGTAATATAATCTTGTCTTAAGAGGATAACTGCCTAGTTTAAAGAACTGCATGTGAGGCAGTTTTCCGATTAAGCACTGCATGATGCCATAATACAGAAGAAAATACCTAAGTACTTATATGTATATAACTATGTGGAAACAAACATCTCAGCTTAGAACAGTCTAATCACTGGTAAATTGAAACACCCAACCCTAGTAGGATTAATCTACAGAAAGGCTACCAGAGAACTTTTGATGTATAACCAGGTTTTACAAGGTACTTCCAGTAGTCCCTATATACCAATGTCGAACGAGCCTAGCCTACTAGATATCTTTCTCAGACATAACGTCTGTGCTACCACTTGTAATTACATTCCTGATTAAAACAAATATAATAGGCATTAGCGTTAATATGAAATGCAAAAAGAATAGTATTAGTGGAGGAAATCGATAGTGTAAGTGTATTTAGGGAAGAATATATTAGTATATGCAAAACTGTAACTTAAGAACTTACTGTATAGCTTCATCAGTTACATTTCGACAACCCTTCAACCTCAAGTTACGTAGAAAGCCACGACTCCTCTGAGCGATTTTTTCGACTACCTTTGGCTGTTTATGGTGAGTTAGATAAGTAATAAGCGTTACCTGAACATACCGCTGAAAATCAAACAAATTAATACTTTTCCAGTTGCTTCCATCAAAAGCACATTCATACCAGAACTATTAAGTTTATTTAGAGTTAAGTAGTCACTTACTTTACAGACTTGAGAGCACTTGCATAAGGTAGTGATATCTAAGTAGGAGAAAACCCTAGGTTTATTTTCAGAAAACCGAAGATCATGCATACCTGATAATCAATTCCTTAGGCAATCTGTCATTAATACAAACATCTCCCTTGATGTGTGAAATAGTCTAGTGAAGCAGTAAGGTACAACAACCCGTTTACCTTTCCATTCGCTACAACCGAACCATTTGCATTAAAATAATTTTCCATTTTGTCACATTGGGTAACTACCAAGCCAAGTAAAATGGGTACCCCATTATGAAACTGGATCAGAAAAGGAGTTGGAAAGTGTACATCTGCATGTTCATGAAATAATAATCCGTGAGAAAAATGAGTAAATCATCGTTACTACTAGCCCAATCAGCTGACTAGATCCTTTAAAATCCAAACAAAGAGTCCGATAAAACATATTTCGTTCAATATCAAACCGTGAGAAAATGAAGTCATGAAAACGCTTCTAAATAAATAGTAAGAAGTTCTGACACTCTGTTAAACATTTTTAAGTCTAACACTTCAATGAGCCAGATGAAAGTGATTGCAGAACTTCAGTTTCAGTTTCGGTTTCAGTTATAAGGATAGTAGGCCAGTTGACCTGTGTTAATCCTTGCAGAGGATATCTCTGTGAAGATCTAGTTTCTCCTTGAACACGTTGACAGGTGCTGATATTACTTGCTGAGGTAAGGAGTTCCAGTCGTTGACAACACGATGGGAGAAACGCAGATTCACGCTAAGTTGATTCGATCGCGGTTTTTGAATTTTCTTGTGATGCCCTCGGAGATAGTCAGTTCTAGCAAGGGAGAAAAAATAGGATATATCGGTACCGAAGTCATTACTAAGAATACGAAATGCCAGTATGAGATCACCCCGTCGTCTACGGTGAGACAGTGGGAATAAATCTAGCTGGTCTAGTCGTTCTTCACAGGACAGGTTCGAAAGGCCTGCCATAAGCTTAGTAACTACCCTTTGAACACTCTGGAGTGCATCAGCATCCTTTTTTAGGCATCGGCTGGCCGCCTGAATGCAGTATTCCGAGTGAAGTCTAACGTAGGTAGAATGGAATATCCTACCGATGACTACAAATTCCAGTTTCTGCTTCTCAGCTGTCTGGTTTATGGAAAATAGACCAATTAGCCTGAACAACACCTGACAACAGCAATCACTGTAAAGATCCAGCTTCCACTTGAAAGCGATGACCAAAGGAGAAGCTACTACGAGTCCTGGTAATAGGTGCTAATTTTTGACCGTCAAGTGGGAAAACCTGATTTCCACCCGTAGTTTATTCAACCGTGGCTTTTGAGCCTTTTCTGGCGACCCCTTATATAATCAGTTCCACAGGGAGTGAAAAATCACATTGATCAGTACCCAGGTCACCACTTAAGATATAATACACTAATATAAGATCCCCCTTGTCCCCATGAGTTAATAAGATTCAGACTTTCAATTGGCTTTTCATAGGACAGATGCTATAGTCCTGTCACTGAATATACACCCACTGTTCTTACCAGTTCTCGAGTACCTACTCCTTGTCAGAAACAAGGACTGGCTCCTTGTGTGAAAAATTCAAGATGCGGCCCTGCAAAAGTGGGATAAGGGATCCGAAATATTTCTTCATCGAAGCAAATTAAAGCCGTTAAGCGTCACTCACTTCTCCAGAACCAATAGCCTACGGTTCGGTAAGATTCGACGTTGATGCTGACCTTCACGGTTTAAGCGGGCTTGCTAAGCTGAAGGCGCCTGGTCAAGCATCCACGCCGTTTGGTGCGCCGTCGTTTTACGTTGCACAGCTCGTGATCGACCTCCTAGCCGGTTGGCCGGAAAGCACCATTATCTTGGCTCGACCTAGCAAATATACTATTCCATCCAACCACGCTATTGTGTTCTTTCTCGGCCTCGTGCTCGTGGGTATACAACAGGTACGAATGACTAGTGATTAGCCTATGCGTCTGTGTAGTTCGCACAGAGGCGATTCCTGCAAGCTGATTTTTGTTGACTTCCATACCGAGACGCACGATCTTTTTCGCAGTCCCCGGGTAGAAGGCCTTATCAAATGCCTTGCGTAATTCAATGAGGTCCACATCAATATGTTGTTTTTGTCGACAGCTTTCTTCGCTTCTCTTCAGTTAGAAGAAACCCCTTTGGGCAGGGACCTCCGTATCCGAAGCCGTGTTTATTCTATGCTAACGAGCGACGTGTTCCGACATGGCTAATTAATGTCCCCGATTATTTTCTCCATTGCTTCTGCCAGTGTACAAGTGGAAATGACCGGGTGACAGTTGATAACCATTTGCTTGCTACAATCCTTGAAAATGTGCAGTGCCACAACACTTCCCTACTCTCTAGGTAACTGGGCCTGGGACAGAGATGAATTACATTTCTTTTTTAGGGATTGGTGGATGATGTCAACCAAAGTCAGTGGCGTTCCCCGGCGTAAACCACCGGTACTCGTTAGGGTTTTAGGCTGTTTAGTGATCCGAAAACTGCTTCACTGTCCATAGAAGTAGGGGCCATTTGCAGGACGTCAGGCGCGGTCGTATCCAACATCTGTGTTTCCTGTCTGGAGAAAAGATCCTACTGGAGTGATTCGATAGGTATTTGGATTCATCCTTTCCCAATTCTACCAAAACACCATGGTTTTCAGTGAGAAATGGATTGGGTATCTCACCATACCTCCTGTTCCCTTGACTAATACGTGGGTCAAACTTTTTCAGACAGGCAACGCAACCGTGCCGTAATTTCCTGTCGTATTCATTATGAGTTTGGAGGTAACAGTCTTACAAGAGTTTCGAGCCTTTCGGTACCAAAAAACTGACATGATTCGTTCCTATGAGCAGATCTAGCATTGCCTTCTCCTGCTCGACAACAATTTAGAGAGAATTTATCTGTCTGTTTCACTCTCATTTGGTCATGAACTAATGTAGTTGACTTTGAGACGCAGCAGCCTTGTAATATGGCTCGCCTAGGCTGTAAAATGTCATACACTGGTAACTATCATATTTGTTACATGGGTCATTGTTAAATATTTCTTAACTGATGATTATCTGTGGTACAGTGTCAGCGAACTTCATTAACGAGTAGCTACTTTTACCAAACCATGGTCCAGACGAATAAATGTATATGTGCTGTGTGAACGTGCAAGCTAAGTTACGGCGTCTCAGGTAAAAGGACTCCTTCGTCATTGGGTTTAACATCAAGCCCTAGAAGAGGCCCCGAAGTTAAGTTCTTCTGCCTGATACTGGAGCTTGATAATACTTCGCACAAGAACAGGGAAGACTCGGTGTCCCTGCAGAAGTCACTCCAAAACTTGGAAGCCGAGCCCGAAATCATCCTGCCGCTGCCACCGGCCCAATCCAGAAGCCCGTCTGTTGAAACGAAACGATATGTCAGATTTCGTAGCTGCTGAGGGTAACGAAAGAGTTGTATTCTCAGTGTCCAGTTTACTACATATCCGACCGTGATCCGGTCAAACAACTATAACCTTCATGTCTGAAGGCCTGTATTATGTCTTCTGCAGAATACCAAGTTGCCCATCTTCGTAGAGTTAGGGAAACATAGCTGCCCTTCGTCGATGAAGCGTTCAAGCTTAGTACTTCTAACTAAGCCAGACAGTTTCTGTCATCTGCTAAGCTTATTAGTACATTCACACCACAAAGAAGTGTCAAACGTCCACATGGATTAACACCCTATCAACTCTCCTCCCCAACTTCATCGATTTTTAAAAAGCCTTTGACAGCTTCAACCGAGAAGCAACTTGGCAACTGCTTCAACACTACACTTTTAGTGTCATAAACCTCTATCAGCCCCATTCAAAAGTTATATGAAGACGCCACATGTCGAGTGATTCACGGTGGAAAGACCAGCGATGATGAATTTGAAATGAAGACAGGAAGGAGTAAGACAATGTTGCCCACTACCACCTGTGATCTTCCCGATGGTGGTGGACTGGATCATGTGGCGAACGGTGAGGAGCGCGAAGACGGGAGTACGCTGGCTGGACCAATGAAAAAAGCCCAAGAGATCTGGATTTTGCGCATGACGATTCGTGTCCAACGTCGCACAAACTAGAATATCTGCAGGCAAAAACCAACAGGTTGACAGAAAAGGCAGGACAGGGAGACGGGACTTCTTCCAAGTGAACGCAGAGGAGACACAGGTGAAGATACCTAACCAAAAACAACGAGCACCGATCACCATCAGCGGCAGAAGCGTAAAGGAAGTCGTCTGCGCCATCTACCTGGGCAACATCGTTTCAACCACAGGTGGCACAGATGAGGGTGTTAAAGCCAGGATCTGAAAAGCAAGACAAGCCTTCATTAATCTGAAACCAGTGGGGAGATATGCTGCACTTAGCGCGAAGAACAAGGTCCGGATTTTTAACACTGATTCAGTCAAGTCAGTGCTTCTATATGGTTGGGAGACTTGGCGCCTTACGAAAAGCATTTCAAACGAACTGCGGACATTCATCAATAGCTGCCGCGTACACTCACTCGATACCGAAAGTCAGATGGCCAGAAGGAACAGGCATATAGGAACTGTGGCCTGCTAACGAATCAACCAAGAACCCATCGCCCAAAAAGTATGCAGAAGAAAGTGGAGACGGGTTGAACTGAGCGTACACCGAGAAAACCTCTCGGGGACACTACACGCTAGGCAGATTCTCGAGTGGAATACGAATGGGAAGCGACTAGTTGGGTGTCCAAGGCAAGGGTGACATAGGGGAGATAGTGTGAGAAAGAAATCAAAGCTTGTGGGCAGTCGTGGAGCAAGGTTGAAAGGAAAGACTGCAGAGAACAGAGTGCGACGAAGACGTGACGCTGAGGCCCTACGTTCCACTAGGAACCCAAGGGACAAATAATAATAAAATACGTGGTCCCCATCAGAGAAATCCTTTGGCTGCATAGTTGCCAAGGGGCAATGCTGAGGTCCTTTAGTAATTTTGCCATAACCTGTCACTGCCTAATGGCATCACAGGTCTACTACCTCATGCCTTGTTTCGTTACTATTGAAACAATTTTTCGTTGCTCACGGCTCAAGGAAGCATTGGAAACTGTATAGAAGAGCGCAGCAACTTGCCTAGATCGCATTAGCTTGGTTCCGTGGGATCGCTTCTGGCATTCGGGCCGAAATGCTTGGATTTTGATCATAAGATTATCAACCCAAGTTGGTACCCAATTAAGTCAGTCAAATAACCGGAATGTGGATCCACCGCTCAA